CACAGGTCCCAGAAGGCTGCAAAACCTTTCACAAAGCTTAGCGTGGCTAGTGGTTGCACATTGGGAAGCCAGCTGTGAAGCAGCCTGCGTCTGACACTAAAGATGCCAGTGTCAGGGACCTGAAGACCAGTGAACTGGACTGGGTGAGAATGAAACTGGATCTTTTGAGAGGTAAGTATCCTTTTATTAAAAATCAGCAGCTATGGTATTTGTAGCTGCTGATATTTTGTTTTGTTCTTAGGGTGAAGATCTTCTTTAAGATTATTATCACTATTTAGTTTATTCTCTGTGTATGGCAGTGACCCCAGTTTTATGTAGAAGTGGCTTACTGCAGGGTGGGAGATAAAATCTGACAGTCTAGATTATGCACATGACAACATCTTGTGATTTGACTACACATTACTTCCAAGTGTGATTCCTGTTATTCATTTATTATTAATACAATGCTTTATATGAACTATCTAGCGCACTTCACTGTTTTTCTTTTTGTTTTGTTTCAGTGTACAGTAATTCCCTGGTATACTATTCATGGAGCTGCAAAGATACAGACTATGTAAAACATTTTTGGAATTAAGGTGGTATTAGCCCAAAAAGCAAACATTAATAATATTTCAGTTTACCAATTCTTAGCTGTGGTGGCGACATTCGTTTTCTTTTTGGGTTTTGTTTTAATTTCATAAGCCAGTAAGTCTGTTGTTTTTCTACAGAACAAGTGTTTCTGCAGATGTAGCAGTTAGGGAGTTGAGACAAACCATTTAACCACTTGCCCTCTAGAGGATTTACCCCCCTTAATGACCAGGTCTCTCTTTTTGCTACTCGGCTCTGCATTAATTCAACTGATAATTGCGCGGTCATGCAATGCTGTACGAAAACAAAATTTACGTCCTTTTTTTCACACAAATAGAGCTTTCTTTCAGTGGTATTTGATCACCTGTGCATTTTTTATTTTTTGTGCTATAAACAAAAAAAGACCAAAAATTTTGAAGAAAAAACAATAATATTTTTTACTTTTGGCTATAAAGTATACATAGTAAACTCAAAGTTAGTTATAAATTTAGGCCAAAATGTATTCTTCTACATGTTTTTGGAAAAAAAATCCCAATAAGTGTATATTGATTGCTTTGTGTGAAAGTTATAGCGTCTACAAACTATGGCATAGATACTGCAATTTATGCATTTTTTTGCTATTCAGTGCTGCACTAGTTTAATGGACAATTGCGCGGTCATGCAATACGGTACACAAATTAAATTTATGTCCTTTTTTTCACACAAATAGAGTTTTCTTTTGGTGGTATTTGATCACCTGTGCGCTTTTTTGAAAAAAAGAAAAACAATATTTTCAAATTTCTGTCATAAAAAATATCCAAAAAAACAAAAATTTTGTCATAAATTTAGGCCAAAATGTATTCTGCTACATGTTTTTGGTTAAAAAATCCCAATAAGTGAATATTTATTTGCTTTTTGCGAAAGTTATAGCGTCTACAAACTATGGTATAGATAATGGAATTTACACAGCTTTTACTTTCTGACTGCCCATCACATTTCTTGAGGTGCTAAAATACCAGGACAGTACAAAAAACCCCAAATGACCCCCTTTTCAGAATGTAGACACCCTAAGCTATCTGCTGAGAGGCATATTGAGTCCATGTAAGATTTATTTTTTTTCTACAAGTTTCTGGAAAATGACAAAAACATTTTTTTTTTTTTTACACAAAGTTGTTATTTAAATGATATGTTTCTCGCACAAGCCATTGATATATGTGGAAATACACCCTAAAATATATTCTGCTACTTATAATGAGTATGGGGATACCACCACATGTGTGAGACTTTTTGGGAGCCTAGCCACATACAGGAGTCTGAAATCCAATGACCACTTTGAAAGCCTGAAGGTGCGTAACTTCTTCATTTCACTTCCTCAATGCCTATCACAGTTTTGAAGGCCCTGACATGCCAGGATAGCACCAAAACCCCCCAAATGACCCCTTTCTGGAAAGTAGACACCCCAAGGAATTTAAAAAGAGGCATGGTGAGTATTTTGCAGATCTAATTTTTTCTCACAAGGTTTTGAAATATAAAAAAAAAAAAGAAAAATATGTTTTTTGTTTTTTTCTTCATTTTCCAAAAACTTGTGTGGCTGTGTGCAACAAACGAGATCTGAAAAATACTCACCATGCTTCTTATCAAATTCCTTAGGGTGTGTCTACTTTCCAAATAGTGGTCATTTGGGGGGGGGGTTTGGTGCTATCCTGGCATTTCAGGGCCTCTGAAACTGTGACAGGTAGTCAGAAAGTGTAATGAGGAAATAAAGCCCTTTAAAAGCCTGAAGGTGCTTATTAGATTTTGGGGTCTTGTACTTGGCTAGGCTGCCAAAACATCTCTTACATGTGGTACCCCCATACACGGGAGCAGAATGTATTTTGTGGAGTAATTCCACATATACCCATGGCATGTGTGAGCAAAAAACAAGTGACAATTTTGTGTAAAACATTTTTTTTTTTTTTTGTCATTTTCCAAAAAATTCTTCTATTGATTCAACATGCCTCTCAGCAAATAGTTTGGGGTGTCTACTTTCCAAAAAGGGGTTGTTTTGGGGGGGGGGCATTTTATGCCCAGCATTAGAATTTTATGCCACACGTCACTCACTCTTCAAACCACCTGAAGAGTTTTCTGACACCTTTTGTTCAAATGAAAAAAAACAATATTTTTTGCTAGGAAATTAATTTAAACCCCCAAACATTATATATTTTTTAAAGCAAATACCCTAGTGAATAAAATGTTGGGTGCTGCAATTTTTTATGTCACATAGTATTCGTGCAGCGATTTTCAAACACAATTTTTTTTAAAAAATACACTTTTTTATTTTTAATGCACAAAAACACAATATATTGGCCAATTATTTGGTAAAATTTAAAAGATTATGGAATGTTGAGTAAAAAGATACCAAACATGACATGCTTTAAAAATGCACATGCCCCGTGCAATGGCGATAAACTGCATACGTTTTTAATATCCATACGCAAAGTTTTTAAAGCCTTTACAAGCTACCATTTTAGATTTACAGAGAAGGAGGGGCGAGGGTGATTTTTTTTAAGTCATTTTGATTTTTTTAATTATTTCTACACTGTCCCTTTAATTTTTTTTAGCACTTTTAATGTTATCACAGGGAATACAAATATCCCCTATAACTATCAATGGGCATTGTCATATATTCTTTTTTGAGGAATCTGGGGTCTATCCGACTCTAGATCTCTCCTCTGCCCTTACATTATCTAATCAAAACAAGACCAGTGTGATCAGATGCTTTCCCAATTTACAAATGGTGCTGTTTATATTATGCAAAACTGAAGTGATGAAATGCTCGTAGCTTTCGATTTATTAGGCTGTAGAGATGATTGGCACCATTCTGGTCTCCAATAAGCTCTATTGTCAGCTGGCAGAAACACCGGCTGCATTCTTAGGTTCCCCCAATAGCACAGGACTGCCCTAGAAGTTTGTAGATGGCAGCAGGGGAGGGGGGTATTATCTCCTGCTGCTTCTAAAAAAGCAATCCTGCAGCTAATTAGCCACTAGGATTGCTGTTACATGAAAGCTGATTGCAGGCTGAAAAAATTATACCAGGATGATGCATGCAGCTGTAGGAGGCATCATCCTAGTATAACCATTCAAAGTCCAGTGATGTTCCAGTACTTGTTGGGTATATATGCTATGTTCTTTTTATTTTTTTAGTATGCAGCCTGTGGGCTGAATGAAAAAAAGAGAAGAAATCTCTGCCAGAAAAAGTATGTGTTATGTCCACCATTAGAAAATATTGCCCTGCATCCACCTACTTCTAATGGTGGGCACACATTAGGTCACATGGTGCCGCATGCGCCAGCTACAAGATTCCAGTTACAATCCGCCAGTTACAATCCGGAATAGTGTGCTGAAAACTGACAGGAGGAGAGCTCCACTTAAAACAATGCAGCCTTTCTCCCCGCCAGTGTTTGCTGGCAATCGCCGGACTCCGGCGGGTAATCACCACCTGGGACCCGGTGATTGACAACTGCGGATGCGATCGGTGCCACGGGTAGGGCGGTAGCGCGCCTCACACACGCCCTCTACCCCAAAATGCAGGATCACGTTTATATACGTGATCCTGGACACAAGGGTGCCTTGTAGCAGTATATGTACTGCGGGCGGTCCTCTAGTGGTTAAAACTGACAGGTGTGCTTACAAGCAGCTTATATTCATTTAGGTAAAATCTTTTGCTATACCTGCTTAAAAACGTTTGCTATACCTGCTTAAAACATGTTTTCTGGAGTTTGGCTTCAATTTGTCAATGTATCTAAATTTACTAGTGCATCTAATATTACCCTATTAATATTAACAATTCTGCTGCATAAAGGTGTCTCTGATGCTCCTTAATCCAGAGTGTAGGCACCCTAATACAGGAAGTGTGTTACTGGCCAGATCACCAGCTGCAATATGTTTAATACTATTTTTTTTACTATATATATATACTGTATTGTGGAATGGGGTAGTTAGCTCTCGTGGTTTATACAGTGAGTTTACACAATGCCAAAAATACAGTTCATGGCTTTTCCCACCCACTTTTATTTAACCACTTGCCTACAGGGCACTTATACCCCCTTCCTGCCCAGGCTAATTTTCAGCTCTCAGTGCTGTCACACTTTGAATGACAATTGTGCAGTCATGCAACACTGTACCCATATGATATTTTTTCAATTTATTTTAGACAGATAGAGCCTACTTTTGTTGGTATTTAATCACCTCTGGGTTTTTTATTTTTTTGCTAAACAAACCAAAAACAACTGAAAATTTTGAAAAAAAAAAAAACTTTTTCTTCGTTTTTGTTATAAAATTTTGTAAATAAGTGATTTTTCTCCCTAACTGATGTGCGCTAATGAGGCTGCAGTGATGGGCACTGATAGGCTGCACTGATGAGGAGGCATTGGTAGATGGCACTGATGGGCATTGGCAGGCATCACTGATGGGCACTGAAAGGCAGAACGCATATCTGCACTGATAGGCGGTACTGATAGGTGGTACTGATAGGCTGCACTGACTGGCACTGTTAGGTGGCACTGACACTGTTAGGCAGCACTGATAGGCAGCACTGACGGGCACTAATAGGTGGCACTGATGCACACTGATATGTGGCACTGACTGGCATTGATAGGTGGCACTTACTGGCACTGATAGGTGACACTAGAAGGCAACTCAGATGGGCACTGATATGTGGCATTGATGTGGCACTGGTAGGCACTGGCAGGTGGCATTGATGAGCACTGACAGCTGGCACTGATGGGCACTGACAGGTGGCACTGCTGGGCTCCAATGATCATCAGGGCACACTGATCATCAGTACCCTGATCATCAGTGCACATGTCCCCTCTGACGGATGCAGATTACCGGCTCTCCACTCCTCACGAGCTGTCAGCGTGACAGCTCGTGAAGAGAGAAATGCTGATAACCGGCATTTCCCTATTTACCTGCGATCAGCTGTGATTGGACACAGCTAATCACATGACCGAGCCGACATCTTTGGCTCTTTCCATTGATCGGTGATCCGCTGTGTCTGAGAGACACAGAGCACCATCGATCACCACGCTGTGCGCCCCCAGAGCCGTGGTCAGAGTGGGGGGATGTCATATGACATCCTCACAGAACGAGAGAACCGCCTTGCGCCTGTCATTACCTTATATGGCGGGTGGGAGGCGTTTAAAGGAAAGCAAAAATATCTTCCCACACAGGGGTTTCTCACCATCAATATGACAAAACATTCAAGCCTCCTGGCTCTCTGTATTAGACCTGCAACTCAGGTCTCATGTATTCCAGAGCATTCAGCACCCATCCCCAGAGCTAGTACAAAAATGCTGTACCTCTTCAGCTTTGTGTCTTTCTTTTACAGCTCTCAGCTGTTCCGTCTCTCATAGACATTCTCTCAGACTGGGGCCTCTGGCTTTGGGCACCTCTGACCCCCGGGTGAGAACCTGTCATTCGGTTTCTTTCCCCCTTACAATCCCTGACCCCTTCAGGAGGGTGGGGTCCTGTCTTTCCTAAAAAAACAGCACACACCTGTGCCATTAGTGGACCTGTGTTTTCCAAAACCTGTCTCAGACTGATTTTTTGCACAGTGGCATGGCCTCTCCCTGCCGCAATATATAAAAATAAAGCAGCTATCACATCTAATAAATGGTAAGCTGCAATATAATTAATGTTTGCTTTTTGGTTTAATACCACTTTCATTCCAAGAATGTCTTAAATAGTCTGTATCTTTGCGGATCCATCAATAATACCCCAGGGAAATAATTTGAAATTAACACAATAATCACTACAAAAGTAATATTCCGTGCTTTTGGAATTGTGGTGACTATTTCAAATACACATTAGGCAGCTGTCTTAATTCAATTACAAACAAATTCATTTATGACATCAGTATGTAGCATATAGTGACTTCCCACAAGACAGTGCTCAAATATCTAAAAGAATAATTCAATTACTCAGTAATGCACAGTATATAGGGCAATAGCCTAACCACTTCCCGTCCAGCCCATGTACATAAATGGCTAGACGGGAGCAATGCTGAAACGGTCCCCGCATTTACTGCCTGTGCACGCTCCCTGGGAGAGCACGGCACTGCCAGGACACAGCGGAACACCCATCGCTGTATGGGACCTCTGTGTGAGGTCTCGATTCATGTGATCCCTGATTGGCCAATCAGTGATCATGTGAATAGTAGTAAACAAGGTGTCACTCCCTGACATCATTGCTTACTACTTGTGAAATCTGTGAATGATCATTGAGACAGTATTTCTCAATGGCTGCAAGAATGCAGCTAGAGAGAAGGAGAAATTGTTGTTTTTACAGCCTTTATGGGTATAAAAGCAAGCAGTGTGAAAAGAGAGAAAAAAAATCTTCATCACCCCCACAAGTAGTACAGTGTCACTATGGTGACATTGTACTGCTAGGGTGACGGTATGTTAAAATAAATAAATAAATAATAATTAAACAAAAATTTTGAAAAATTATAATTTTTGGTTATAAACTAATTTGGGTTATTTTTTTTTTCCAAAAAAGATAGCTGAATACATTTTGGCAAAGATTTATGAAGAAAGATTATTTAATTGCAAAATTTTATAAGAAAAACACTTTTTTTTTCAAAATGTTTGGACAATTTCAATTATATAGCAAAAAATAAATAAAAATGCCAATGGTGAATAAATACCACCAAAGGAAAAAATTTTTCTGTCTCAAACAAAAATGCTAAAAAATTCATATGGGTACAGTGTTGCATGACTGCACACTTGCCATTCAAAGTGTGATAGCACTGAAAGCTGAAAATTGGCCTGGACTAGAACGGGGTGAAAGTGTCCGGACTTGAAGTGGTTAAAGTTACTAAACCCAGGACCCTGCATTCACAATATCTGGTCACCCACAGTACACAGAACATGGAAATTCAATTATTTTAGTAAATATAAACTGCTAAATATAGTTTCTCATCAGCAGTTAGAGCAGTCTTGTGACGTCTATCAGTGTTCAGCCAAGCACTGGTGAAAGCTTGTAGGAGGAGTTTTCTTTCTGCTCTAGGAGGATGTAGAACCCCTGACCTCTGTCTGGACAGTCCTGATTGGCCCTGTGTTGATCACATGCACTCTCCCAAGAAAAAAAAACTCTCAAGCAATACACACCAAACTGAGCGTGTGCAGAGTGACTCCACACAATATGTCTTACCAGGAGATAAGAGGATGGCACTGGAAGAAGGGGAGGATCAGAGAAGTCTGGATCAAACAGCATTTTTATACAATGCAGAGGATTAAACCCTTAGGTTCCACAGTGAGTATAACATGCAATCTTTACTGCATATACAGACTGATTTTACTGTTGTGGGTTTAGTAACACTTTAACTATAATCAGAGTATAGTGTATGGAGAGTGTAGTTGATTATATTTAAGCTATTGCCCTATATATTGTGCTTTACTGATTAACCTCCTTAGCGGTAATCCTGAGTGTAGCTCGGGGTAAAATTTCTATACCAAGAGTGGTAACCCCGAGCTACACTCGGGCTTACCATGCGGCGTTGCTCAGGGGGTCCCTGCAGCACTTACCTTGTCCTTCGCTCCCGCGATGTATCCCCTGCAGCGTCCCCGGCATCTCCTCCGGCCCATTCCGGCATCCGGCTTCTGTGTTTTCGGTCCCTGTGATGTCGGGACGTACGGGCGCCAGTACCGGCGGGAAATTTTAAATTTTTAAAAAATGCCATTTTTGCTGTCATTGCTGTTTCAATGCATTTCACATATATTTTGTCCCTACTGCTTTGTCCTGTGCCCTGCCTGCATTTTGAATGTTCTTTCTGCCTGGAAACTTGGAAAAGTCCATGGCGTCCAAAAAGCGTCCCTTTACGTCAAAAGCGGTTTTATAACAGCGATAGTAAATCAGAACCACTTGCAGAATTGAGTGATAATGATTCGTGGGGAAATTCGTCATCAGACACTGAAAACGATTTTGCGACTTTGCTCAGCGATGTGCGAATTTGCCTCTGTATTTCAAATTTCAGTTTGATTATATTATTGAATTAAATTTATTATTATTATATTATTATTTTTTATGATTATTTATTAAATTATAATTTATGATTTCGTGTTTCAAATTTTATCATACCCGGGATGTTTAATAGACTCTTGTTCGGACAGATTTCAGTGAGTTATTCCTAAATATTACAGCCTACAATAAAAAACTACATATTTCCATGCAAAAAAATGGTACCGCTTTCAGCACAAAAAATCGGAAAGAATCATACCGCCAAGGAGGTTAATTTATTAATTATGTTAGGTATTTGAGCACTGTCTTGTAGGAAATCGCTATATGCTACATACTCATGTCATGAATGAATACACCAGGGAAAGGGCTTTTGAGGGCTGTGATAACCTTCCAGCTGAGCACATCCTGTTTTGTGGAAATATTTTGCTTGACTGATGTCAAAGCAACTTAATCCTTTGTTAAACCCAAAACCTATCTGTAGCACTTTAATTAATTAGAGGCAAAGTTATAGGTTTCACCCAGATTTGGGTGAACAGGAGGGGAGATTACTTGTTTGATAATTGGGAGGAGGAGGGAGGAATATATTTGATAACTGTTTTCTTCTTGCCAGCCAGAGCTAGAGTTTGTTTAACAGCATGCACAGTGGGCTGTGATGGAAAGGGGGCATTTTATCAGCATTGTTAATTCCATTGTTGGTAAATAAATCTAAGGCAGGCTATACATGATGTGATTTTCTTTCCTGCAACCATGTGTTGAGAAAGAAGATCACTTGATTCCCCCACCAAAGTCATTGGGAAATGGGAAATCCATACACTGAGTTATTGTTTTATTCCAGCGGGGGGTCGCGGGTGAGCCATCCCCTCCGAGAGAACACAATGATTACTGCTAGTGGCTATAATAGCCACCAGCAAAAATCACATGTAAAAATCAACATGCTGGTTGTACTCAAGTCATATAACAATTGACTTGGGTGCCATCAGTCTGCCCATAGATGGTTCACATCCCAGCTGGTCCCTGCTGAAGCTGCTAAGCTGTGAATCCAATTTGGGCGTTAGTGTGAAGATAAAAGTAGATCAGCGGCGGACTGAACATTTGGAAACTCGGGCACTGCCCGAGGGCCTGGGGTCAGTAGGGGGCCCCATGAGATGCCCCTGGTACCTTTTTCATAGGCTTTTTTAAGTTTGAGCAAGGAAACAGCAGCCCCATGATCCCCTATTGCCTGGGGGCCCCATGAGTTGTCAGTCCACCCCTGAAGCAGATCAAATGCAAACAAGTTCAGTGATGTCTGGGTTGCCAACCATTCCAACCTAATATTTTCAAAATCTGCACAAGAAAAAAAAATCTTGCACTTGGTTATGCAGGAATACATACATAAATGTAGATCTAGAAGGAAAAACTTTATTGCATTTTATTCTTAATGGTAAATGCAAATTCTGAATTTTCAAGTTTTTGGAGCACTAATTTATTTCAGTGGGCTTAGGTTTATGCCTGATAAAGGAATCAAGTCCTATGAAAGATTGCATATTATTTTGATATTTAGGGCTTTTTCTCTATCTACAAAATGGCCACACTTTATTTACTAAACTTACAATTTTTTTCTTGCATCTTAGTGACTTCTTACAAGTAGTTATATCTTATTTCAAAAGAAATAAGGCGAATACACTTATATTACTTTCAATAGTTAATGTCTCCAGTGAACAAGTATAGCCACCGGTTTTGCCATATGGGGATAATTTAGTAAAGGAGCAATTTTTAAACTGGTCTAATGAATAAGTGTTATTTCAAAGAACCAATCAGTTTAGAGGGACTAAAATGTCCCCTGAATAAAATTCCCTTAGACAGTTTAAACATTATTCCTTTATTAAAGATGCATTGTAATGTCAACACTGATTGCAAATACCATTTCCCTTTGTTTTATTAACCATTTCCATTTAGAATGTCAATAATGATTATAGTTTCAGCACTACATTATCAAAGTAATAAACTTTAATTCACATTTTAAAAGAACTTCTCATGAAATGACTTTTACATGCTTTATGTCTTTTGCTGAAGACCTTTATTATGTCAGTTTACAAATATTTATTTGATGATAATTGATTTTATTTATCAGATGCAAAATATTGTTCTACTTATTTTAGGAATTTTAATTCTAACATATTTAATTTGTGCTTATAGTAACATTGTATACTGTAGTTACCTATTATTCTAATACTTCAAAGAGCTTAAACAATTAGATACATGATGATAAAACTGAAAAGAAAAACTTTTCTAAAAATTGGGGGCATGGTGACTGTGCTTCTTAATGGCCGCTGGGCTCATAGTGTCCCCATACAGACTACAGCAGCTTTTTTTACCCTACAGCCTCGGGCGAACCTCAGTTATGCCCCACAGATGCTGAGACGGGCCACAGCCCAACAAGCTGGACAGCTTCTTCCCCAGGCTCCCTCCTAGTCTCTGACAAAATGGCTCCTGCAGTGGCTTTCAGCAGAGAGCCAGAGCAGCCTCTGGCTACACAGAAAACATGCAGTTGACACAGGGGTGGGGGCTTTGTTCTCAACTCACTGCCTCCTGGAGCTTCTACTCCATCCACTAGAAGCCCAGCCAAGTCCAGGCCAAGATGAGACTCCTCAGATGGTGCCACAGGGTCCTTGGACATGGAGGTAAGCACTCAGAACCCGGAGCCTCTCGGCCACATCAAGATCCCTTTGATGTGAATCTCCACCACAGGTCTCCCGATATCTGACGCTACGCTCAAAAGTATACAAATAGTAAAGGCTTGTGCGCTGCTATACCACAAATTCAACAAAGGAAGGAGAAGATTGCTGCACTCACTGATCTAGTGTACTCACACTCAAATTAAATAATTAAACATAAATATGATGTGCTACCTCCTTGAGGAGGTAGTGCATCACGTTTCTGTTTAATTATGCTAAAAGGTATGTTAACATCCCTAAGAGCATCACTACAACATGATATGAAATCATGCTTTCATCAAATACAAGCTGACATCTAGGACCTGGGGGACAGAGGGGATCATTATGGAAATTTTGTGTGACTATGCGGAATCCTTTAAAACTTTACTTGAAGCACAGTCTGCTCATTTAGAAGAACTGGCATGGTTAAAATCTAAAGTCACTGACGGAAGACAGATCCAGTCGCAACAATCTGAAAATTTGTGGTATTCTGGAGTCGGTCCAACAATCTCAACTACTGCAGTTTGTGACGGATCTCTCTTGTGTCTATCCTGCCATTTCTTACCTCAGCGAATCAAACTATTAATCTGATCCATTGGGTCCCTAAACCAGATTATCCCCCATCACAGGTCCCTAGGGATGTCACACTTTGTGTGCACTTCTACCAGGTCAAAGAACAGGTGCTGACAACATTCTGCATCATTGGTAATATCCTGCCAAGGAAACTAATACACACAACGGGATGACCAAAACCATCTCTACACTGGAGGAAGGCCTGCAACTACTTCTCAGCTGAGATATCATCCCTAACCTTTCGCTTCACAAGTCTGCATTTTCTAACCCTCGCCAGATTACTCTAGAATGGTTCAGAAAGTTCAGCAGCTGTGATCTCCAAAGCAACAGCCCACAGGGGACTCATGAATGACTACATTAAAATTGTATTACTTCCAGATCCCGGCTGCCAGAACATTTTCCATCTTGCTCCACACCTGGATTGTAAAAGCAGTGAGTACTGCCTTTGGTCTGATTTCAGGACACTCATTTTGCTGACTTTTACTTTTAATATCTAACTTTTCAGTTTGCTATAGTTTGATCATTTATCTTCTTTGCTTTCCACCTGTGTGGGAGATGCTCAGGATTTTCTATATTCATCAATTCCTTTGTTTGATACCAGCCTTGAATCCAGAGTTATTTATTGGAATGAAATCCACTATTGTTCATGACATTCGGACTTCCTTTCATCATAGTGTAATCGCTCCACCTTCCCCCCCCACTTGGGAAAGGGTGCCTCGATTCATTTTCTGCTTCTCATGCACCATGGAATTCAAAATTATGTCTATAAATACCTGTGGGTTGAACTACTAAGCAGGGGCGGACTGCCCCATTCGAGCACTCGGGCACTGCCCGAGGGCCCGGGGTCAGTAGAGGGCCCCATAAAATGCCCCTGGTACCTTTTATAGGCTTTTTTGGGTGTGTTTTGAGTGTGGGCAAGGACACAGGGGCCCCATGATCCCCAATTGCCCGGGGGCCCCATGAGTTGTCAGTCCGCCCCTGCTACTTAGTCATGTGCTTTTGTGTGTCAAAAAGCAAATAGTACCCATTCTGATATTGTATATGCCTAAGAAACAGATTTCCACCTCCATGCTACTACTAACACATCTACTTGGCACAAGCTGCCTTAAAGGAAAAGGGGGGGGTGCTTCTTGCCTTCAAAAACGTTCTGGTCTTTAAGTTGCGGGAATCTGTCTCTGACACTGAAGGTCGATACTTCATACTGTTATGTTGTGTATCAATAACTGCCCCTTTACCTTGGTTGAGGTATATGCTCCAAATATACACCAACTACATTTTATGTGTAAGCTGAAATAATAAAAAAAAAAGATAAGGTGAAATATGGTAATATTATTGTCTGAGGATTTTAATGTAACAGTAAACCTTCAAATTGATATCACCTTTCCTCTGCTGCATTGCTTACCTTCTGTCCAAGCCTTGCTCCATCAGCAGGACCTTTATTTTGTCTGGCATTGTCTCCATGACAAGGAAGGGGATTATACATACTTCTCAGAAAGACACAATACTTATTCTAGAAACAATTTTTGCTAATTGATAAATGGCTCATACAACAAGTGTCCTCAGCCACTATCTCTGATATAACCAGTGACATAGTGGAAAATTACTCTTTCAACTCTTCAGTGTGGCACTGCAAGAACCTTCTTGCAAACACATGCTCTTCAAGCACCTTCAGGAATTTTTCCAGATTAATGTTCCTACTGCTGCTGATAGCTTTTTTTATGGATTTTCTATAAGGCATACATGTGGGAAATTCTCATCCAGCTGGGAGTGAGGGTGAAAAAGCTTATAACCTACATATTACCAATATTCTGCAAGAACTTCACATCATTGAAATCAACAATAAACCCACCCCTACTAGAGCTAACCAACAGGCCCTATCCAAGCTCTGTAAGGTCCTTGAAGGTTTGGAAATCTTAGATAGAGTGGCGTTCTATTCACCAAACCTAAATTTTGTAATGGAGATGTCTCTTGGTCTTACTGATATGATGTTATAAATCTAATATTATTTGCTGATCTGAATTGGCTGTGTTGTTTCTGTCACTTTTTCCTGTTTTATGTCATAGTATTTGTCAAAACGTGATATATACAGTATCTTGATAAATATTCAGCTGATATTATAAGATAATTTACATTTTTCCTGTGAAGGCCAAGCTTTGCTTTTCAAACTGGATGGAGGAATCCCTCCTGCTGAGCATTCTGACAATGGGGAGACTTTCTTGATGTCACAATACACTCATCAGCACCACCAGCTATAGCTGGTGGCACTGACTGAACAAACGTTTTCTAACAGGCTGGATGAAAGATCAACTTCTGTACAACCAGCCTGCCCATACATGGATTGAAATTTATCCAGTCCCTGCTGAAGCAATTTCAGTCTATCTATGGCTGGTTTTAGGCTGCTCATCTCATTGAAAAACCAAAGTGAAGGAAAGAGCATGAGGTGGGAGGGGTGGTTACAGGCAAGATAATGTGAAAATTCATTCACTTATATCCAAAGGCCTACTAATCATTGTGACAACCCTCCAAATCATTAGATTCAGGTGTTCCAATTACCTCCATGGCCACAGGTGTATGCAGACTGCTTCTACAAACATTTACAAAAGAATATCGCACTGTCAGGAGCTCAGTGAATTAAATTGTGGTACCATTATAGGTTTCCACCTGTGCAATAAGCCCATCCGTGAAATTTCTTTGCTATTAAATATTCCATGGTCAACTGTTAGTGGTATTATAACAAAGTGGAAGCAACTGGAAATAACAGCAACTCAGCCATGAAGTGGTAGGCCACATAAAATGACAGAGCGGGGTCAGCACATGCTGAAGCGCATATTGAGCAGAAGTCGCAAATTGTCTGAAGATTCAATAGCTAAAGACCACCAGACTTTGTGTGGCCTTCAGATTAGCACAACAACAGTGCGTAGAGAGCTTCATGAAATGAGTTTCCATGTCCAAGCAGCTGCATCCAAGCCTTGCATTACCAAGTACAGTCCAAAGCATCGGATGCAGTGGTGTAAAGCACACACACCACAGGACGCAGTGGAGGCGTGTTCTCTGGAGTGACAAATCATACTTCTCTGTCTGGCAATCTGATAGACATGTCTGGGTTTGGTGGTTTCCAGAAGAATGGTACTTGCCTGACTGCATTGTGCCAAGTGTAAAGTTTGGTGGAGGGGGGATTATGGTGTGGGATAATTTTTCAGGGGTGGGGCTTGGCCCCTTAGTTCCAGTGAAGGGAACTCTTGAGGCATCAGCATACCAAGATATTTTAGACAATTTCAACTTTGTGGGAACTGTTTGGGGATGGCCCCTTCCTGTTCCAACATGACTGGGCACCAGTGCACAAAGCAAGGTCCATAAAGATGTGGATGAGTGAGTTTGGGGTGCAGGAACTTGACTGGCCTGCACAGAGTCCTGACCTTAACCTGACAGAACACCTTTGAGATTAAATAGAGCAGAGGCTGGCCTTCTTATCCGACAACAGTGCTTGACCTCACAAATGCACTTGAAGAATGGTCAAACATTGCCATAGACACTAAACCTTTTGGACAGCCTTCCCAGAAGAGTTGAAGCTGTTATAGTTGCAAAGGGTGGGCCAACTCAATATTGAATCTTATGGACTAAGACTGGAATGCCATTAAAGCTCATTTTATTTATATATATATATATATATATATATATATATATATGCTTGCCCACCACCATATAGCACAAATACTGCTACAATGTGGCAGGGCTGTGCAAAATCACTTAAATATACGTGATTTTGCATTTCTGGGAAGTGAGAGCCGCCCTTACCGTACCGCCAATGGTGGCTATGGCTGTCAATCACTGGGTCCCACCGGCACCCGGTGATTGCCGAAGTACACTGACAGAGGAGAGGTCTGTATGTAAACAATACAGATCTTTCCCCTGTCAGGTCCAGTATGTTTCTTTGTTCTGCTCTGCATAGCACAGCAATATAAAGCAGAATGCTTACACAGTAAAACACACACAGCACACATGGTAAAACAGCACAGTGCACAGTTTAACCTTTTGATCTCCCCAGATGTTAACCCCTTCCTGTCCAGTGCCATTAGTACAGTGTCAGTGCTTTTTTTTAGCACTGATCACAGCATTAGTGTCACTGTCAGTGGCAGCTAGTCAGTGTGAGTTAGTGTCAAAATGCCTGCCGCAGTCTCACAGTCCCGCTATAAGTCACTGATCGCTGCCATTACTAGTATAAAAAATGTTTTCTTTTAAAAACCAGTATATACACTGCCATTTGTAGAATCTATAACTTTCATGTAAACCAATTAATTTACACGTATTGGGATTTTGTTTGTTGTAACAGAATACATTTTGGCCTAAATTTGCAACAAAATACATTTCTTTTAATTTTTTTTGCTGGATATGTTTTTTAGCAAAAAGTCAAAAAAAGTTTTTATTTTAAAATGTTGATTTTTTTTGTCTATAGTGCAAAAAATAAAAAATCCAGAGGTGATCAAATACCACTGAAAGAAATCTCTATTTGTGGGAAAAAGAACATAATTTCATTTGGGTGCAGTGTTGCATGACCGCACAATTGTCAGTCAAAGTAATGCAGTGCTGCTTCACAAAAATGGCCTGAAGGAAGGGGGGTAAATCCTCTGGAGGGCAAGTGGATATATATATATATATATCTACAGTTGCAAGAAAAAGTATGTGAACCCCTTGGGATTACGTGGAGTTTTGCATAAATTGGGCATAAAATGTGCTCTGAACGTCATCTAAGTCACAACAATAGAAGAACACAGTCTGCTGAACATAATACTACTACACAACATTAGATGTTGCCATGGTTTAATTGCACATAACATGTAAACATTCACAGTGCAGGGAGGAAAAAGGATGTGAACCTTTGGACTTAATAACTGGTTGACCCTCCTTTGGCAGCAATAACCTCAACCAAACATTTCCTGTAGTTGCAGATCAGACCTGCACAACGATCTGGAGTCATTTTGGACCACTCCTCTTCACAAAACTGTTTCAGTGTAGCAATATTCTTGGGATGTCTGGTGTGAATCGCTCTCTTAAGGTCATGCCACAGCATTTCAATCGGGTTGAGGTCAGGACTCTGACTGGGCCACTCCAGAAGGCGTATTCTGTGCTGTTGCAGCCATTGTTTTGTTGAATTACTTGTATGCTTTGGGTCATTGTCCTGTTGCATCCCCCATCCTCTGCGGAGCTTCAGTTGGCGGACAGATGGTCGTACGTTTTCCTGCAAAATGTCCTGATAAACTCTGGAATTCATTTTCCCAATGACAACAATCTGTCCAGGTCCTGAGGCAGCAAAGCAGCCCCAAACCATGATGCTCCCTCCGCCATGTTTCACAGTGGGGATGAGGTTTTGATGTCGGTGTGCTGCGCCTTTTTTTCTCCACACATAGTGTTGTGTGTTCTTCCCAAACAACTCAATCTTGGTTTCATCTGTCCACAGTATATTTTGCCAGTAGTGCTGTGGAACATCCAGGTGCTCTTTTGCAAACTTCAAACGTGCTGCAATATTCTTTTTGGACAGCAATGGCTTCCTCCGTGGTGTCCTCCCATGTACTCCATTCTTGTTTAATGTTTTCCTTATTGTAGATGTGTCAACAAAAATGTTAGCATGCGCCAGAGATTTCTGTAGGTCTTTAGCTGACACTCTGGGATTCTTCTTTACCTCATGCAGCATTCTGCGCTGTGCTCTTGCAGTCATTTTTACAGGACGACCACGCCTAGGGAGAGTAGCAACAGTGCTAAACCTTCTCCATTTGTAGACAGTCTGTCTTACCGTGGACACATGAACATCAAGGCTTTTGGAGATACTTTTGTAACCCTTTCCAGCTTCATGCAAGTCAACAATTCTTGATGGTAGGTCTTCTGAGAGCTCTTTTCTGCGAGGCATGGTTCACATCAGACAGTGCTTCTTGAAACCAGTAAACCCAAAACAGGTGTGTGTTTTTTAAGGGCAGGACAGCTGTCAGCAACACATCCAATATCATCACACTGATTGGAGTCAAGGTTGGCTCACTCCTGGCTGCAATTAGCTCTGGAAGAAGTCATTAAGCTAGGGCCTCACATACATTTTCCTCCCTGCACTGTGAATGTTTAGATGTTATGTGCAATTAAACCATGGCAACATCTAATGTTTGTGTAGTATTATGTTCAGCAGACTGTGTTCTTCTATGGTTGTGACTTAGATGACATTCAGAGCACATTTTATGCCCAATTCATGCAAAACTCCATGTAATCCAGAGGGGTTCACATACTTTTTCTTGCAACTGTATATATATATATATATATATATATATATATATACCCACTGGCACAACTTTACTATCTTCAGCTTGTATTGAATACTTGGATGCTTATGATGAATATTTCCTTGATCACTTGCAGCTGGATTTCTACTTTTGTCTGTTAGCTTGTTAAAGGTAGTTCCTTGAGTAGTGAATATTTTAGTATGTTTGTACAATATAAATTATTTTAAAATATAGATATTTAATTCAATCTATAATGTATTAGATATATAATGGGTATGAGGTGGAGATGTAATTTCTTTCCGCTTAAAAGGTAATCTGTCATCAATAAAAAAAAAATGTGAATATGCAGCAAATTACATTAGATAGAGTAACATGTTTTCACAGAATCTGTCAGTGTCTGGATTGATGCAACAGTTAATTACTTAACTCTGAGGGTAGATGTGTTCAATAATTATCTGTAGTGCCCAACACTCAGAACACGGTTAAAGAATTCTGAGACCTTGAATTTTCTATGCAACTCTCTACAAAAACTCCAGCGATGTAAAAATAATCAGTTAAAATGGAATAGTTAATCTACAGTACAATGTACTGAGCCAGCAGCAGACATGGAAAGAAGACCTTTTGAAGGGTCTCAAATTCTGGATTGAGCTTCTAGCAGTTACAGTGCTCAGATTCAGTGTCATTATCTCCTACTGCTTAATATAGGTATGTAAGGCAACTGTAATAATTCAGGTTCAGTGAAACATAGGAGGATGTTGGGCAGACCTAAGATTCATGTCTGGTTTTGAAGTTGGTAGCTGAATAAAAGTGTTCTTCAAGTCTCAGAATTTCTAAGAAACTCAAAGCAAAGGTATTGTTCAGCCAAGCCACTTTAGATTTCTTTTGTCAAAGTACACTACCTGTTAAGCAAGTTTCAGGTGACAACATGTATATTTTAAATACATTGTTTTAAAGAAATTAATTTCTTGCCTATGGAAGGTGATGACAAATAACTGATTAGATGACTGTGATTGTACCTAAGGATGATGGTAATAATAAAAAAAAATTAAAAAAAAAAAAAGTAACAATAAAAATAATAATAATACAGATTGTGCTGCAACAACACGTTTGCTCCTTTCAACATAATAGATAAGGTCAGACTAAACTATTTACGTAATTTCAGCTAAAGTGTACAAATAATGACATAAAGGAACATTGTCTTGATTGTATAGAAATGTAACAGAGAGAGAGTACAAACAGTTTCATATAAAGATTTTCTGGACCAAGCTATTGTAAAGTAATTGTAGGTGATTTAAAGACTGACAGACTGAATGAGAAATAAGTTCATACATTTTGAAATACCTGATTCTTTAAAACCATGTAAAATGCAGGTGGGCCTCTAAAAGGCTCAATTTAAAGTTATCATTTAAAGACTTGGGTCCTATAAATTATTTTCTTGAATAATTAGTCACGTTATCCATGTATGCAAGCAAGGTATTGAACAGTTTAGATAATGATTAGAATTTTAATTTTAGGTTTAATTATATTTGTTTTGATGCATTGCTACAATTATTTATGATTACTACATTGTTGCAATTTTTTTTGTTTACATGCACTTATCAAAACTGCATCCTAATTAATATAACTGTCAAATGGTTTTATTTTATTTTAGTTAATGGTGATGTTGTAAATCTATGACAATATTCTGTTTATTTTGTTGCTATCCTTTCTCATGACCAAACTAGCTGTTCAGTGGGAAACAAAAAGGGCATACTTACGAAGCAGGGAAATGATTTTTACAAAAAAATCACTGTAGGTCAATCTTCCTTCTTTAAAATTACAGTGAACAATTACTCCTTGTGAATGACTGGTAAATTTCACATTCACTGCTTTATAAGTATGCCCCTAAAGGTGGTTCCTTACA